ACAAATTTTTTTTACATTTACTAGAATTCACGATAAACTTTTGGATTTTTTTCTTACAAAAGTTACACAAACTCACATTAGAAAAATGATGTAGAGATAATGTTATGGACTTTAGGTAAAAACTTATAAAAAAATAAATAGTTATATTTTTTTGAAATTTGAAATAAAATTTATTAAAAATGTTAAAATTGTGAATATTTGATTAATAATAATTATATTTTTTCAAATTTTTAAATTAATATGTTACGGTAGTTGTAGCGTGACTTTCGTTATATAGAGATTTGATTATATATGTTCTGCATACAACATACATGTTGAATAATATCAATTTGATCGCTGTATTGTTGAAATTGTATTGTACATTGCCTTTATTTATAAAAAAATATTTACAATTTCTTACGGGTAACGTAGTGCCTTCAGGCGCGACTAATTACTAATATATATATATAGTAACATAAAAAATATAATAACATTTAAACAAAAAAATAATACTATTCAAAAATAAAAAAATTATAATATTATACATGCTCAACAAAAATAGTAATATACTCACAAAAATAGTAACATGGTAATTTATATATATATATATATATATATATATATATATATATATAGAGAGAGAGAGAGAGAGAGAGAGAGTATAATTGTCATTTGAATTTAAATTTCAACTTACTTTACTAAATTTTTTATTTTTAATTGGCTCAAATATAATTTTAATCACCTCAAATTTTAATACATAAAAAAAATATAATTTTCAATTGATTCAAATTTTAATACATAAAAATAAAAAATTTTAAATCGAATTTTAATCGTTCCGAATTTTAAACCGTAAAAAAAAATAGAAAACAAATGAGTTCTTACTAAAGATATACTTATCTAGAGAAAGTGTGGATGAAGTTTGTGCTCAAATATATCCTTGGCAATTTAGTAAAATTGCATTCTAGTTAACATTTTTAATCTGACTGGGTATCAATGAAGATTCAGAAATAGAGATAATGTTCTTGAAGATATGGTAAATCCTTGGGGGTGTGGTTGAAATTTTTCTTAATTATAATTACGTTAAATCGAGAATTGAATTTAAGATCGACTCAATTAACACTTATATCTTAAATTTACAAATTAATTATTATCTATTGCCGTTCACAATGACATCGTAATTTTTTTTAATTTAATTATTCATTATTATTTTTACAATCAATTTCAATTTGACTTCAACTTAAAAATTCAAAAAATTCAAATAAAGTTAAGTTTAAACAAGAATATATACTTTATACTCGACAATCAAATTCATCTCAATTTGAATTCTAATCATAATCACTTCGAACCAATAATCAAGTAAAATTAAAGGATTCTTGTAAATTTTTTGTGGAAAAAAAATTTGAAGGAGGAGTTTCGATCGTTTGATCAATAATCTTAAAATAATCTGAGCCGTAAAAAATTCAGCACAAATAATGATAGCTCCCTTATTGTATAGATTATCATAAATTACATATATAGTATTTGCTTGTTATACCATTCGAATATTTTAGTATTTTTATTTCAATATAAAATATGATCTATATGATAGTCATTCGACTTGTTTTCACGCAAATAATTTGTATTTAAGGTCTATTTATTTATTTAAAAATTCTAAAAATAATCTAAATTATATAGAATTATAATTAATGACCTAATGAATGTATTAGCGATTAATTTTTATATTGGTCATCACAGTATGTGAGAGGGAGAGAGAGCTAATTGAGAGAGACATTTATATAGACTAGGAATGCACTACGTGCGTTGCACGTGAATAATTTTTGTATACAAAAATTAATAAAATATATTATGTATATTTGTATTTGAATTAAATATCATCTCAAATTTACAAATTTTAATTTTTTATTGTTCATATTTTATTATAAGATTATGAAAATTTTAAATATTACCAAAATTCTTTGTTCTAACTGTAAAAAATAAAAAAATAGTTAAAGTCCTATATTTTTAGAATTTTGTGATTAAAATTAATTTTTTAAAATTGTTTGAGAAATTAAATTTTTTAAAATTCATTTGATTAGGATTTCAATTATAATTCATTGAATAAAATAAAAGTAATTGTTAATATACTAATCACATTGGAACCTTACTACAATTAAAAATAAGTTAGGTCAACTGGAATAAGATTTAATATACTACTCTATAATTTGCATTATCAAATATCTTAAAATTCTAAAGAATTCAAGTTTTACTTAAAAATATACTACGATATTTATTTTTATAAAAAAAAAATTTTAGTCCAACTTATAAAGTTTAGGGTAAATTACACTGACATCCCTACAGATTGGTCTAATTACAGAGACACCCTCAATTTTTTGAAATTACATTGATATCCTATACTGTTTACCTACCAAATTCACAAAGTATCCCTATGGTTAGCATTATTATTGACAATGTCAAAAAAGTGATTACATCATCAACTTTTTATATTTTAATACTCATATTACCCCTGGATAAAATTAAGCTAACCTATTTATTTTCGTATCGTGTTCGTGTTCGCATTCATACTTCATTTTTATATCGCGGAACGTCTCCAAGGTAAGACCACTTTGAACCCTTTCTTGCAAGATAACCTCGGATACCAACAATTACCCGCAAACTACATGTATCAGTTAAATCCGAGAAACACTAGCGTGAGTCAAACCCCTAACGTCTAGGCCTACGGTTTGTCTGGGTTCAACTCCACACCGCTAGGATACCTGTACAGATGTGTTCGTATTCGTGTTGACTCATATAAACTTTAAATAAAAAAAATTTAATGTTAAGATTTAAGTTTAAGATTCTATTATTACTTAATTGAATGCATTTTCATACTTTTTCTATAAATTAAAAATTAAATTAATAAACACAATAAAAATAATGAGTAAAAATATCTTTTTATACAATAATTATGTTAATGCTTAATAAATAGCAACAAATAATTAATATCTTATTTTTATAGCATCACTTAAACATATGGATCATTGCAATTCCGTGTTGTTCGTGTTAATATACAAACGAAAAATAGAGAAAATTCAACACGATTAAATAAAACGGGTTGATCGTGTCAATTTCAGGTTTGATAGATTGAACCCGAAAATGACTCATTTATTAGTATTTAAATATATGAAAGGATGATAAGTAAAAAATGATATATGTGTGGTAAGGATAATTATGAAAAATTACATTTTTTATATTTGTTAAAAGACAAGACTTGACCTGGGATATTAGTGTAATTTCAAAAAATTGGGGGTGTCCCTGTAATTAGACCATTTTACATGAGTGTCAGTGTAATTTATCTTAAAATTTATTGTGACTGAAGAATTATATTGATCTATCATAAATTGATTTTAAAAAATTATATATATGATTATTTTTTATCTTAAAAATGAAAGGGTTCAACTTTTTGATGAAAATATATATATATATATATATATATATATTGAAAATATAATGATGCATATTTTTTTAAGAGTAATATAGTTATCAAAAAATAAATACTTATACATAAAAAATAAATAATTAAAAGAGATGTTATAGTTATTTTGAAGATTTAAATATATAAAGATATGATAGTAATTTAGATATTTAACTGTTAAAGGATAGAGTGATCTTTACAATCTTTTATAAGGTTAAAATAATGATTCAAAAGTTTTTCATCTAAGATACTTTTATTAGTAGTATAGATATACCACAAATTACATATATATTATTCGCTTATTATACTATTCAAATATTATAGTATTTTTATTTAAATACGAAATATGACTTATATTATAGTCATTGGATTCGTTTTTACATAAAAAATTTGTATTTAAAGTCCATTTGTTTATTTGAAATTTCTACAAATAATCCTTAATTATATAGAATCATAATCTTTAATTAATGTGTTAACAATTAATTTTTATATTGGTCGTCACAGTATGTGAGAGGAAGAGAGAACTGACTGAGAGACGTGTGAACTGTATGAACATCAGATAGTATAAGATAAAGAGAGAGAGGGGGGTTATAAGAGAGAAAATAGTCTTAAAATTTGATAAGGAATGAAACTCTTGTTCAAAAAATTGGAGGAAAAATTTTCGTATTAGGACTGTCGGATCAATAATCTTCTCAAACGATCCAAGTTGCAAAAACCTCAAGACAAACAATCTAACTACTTTATTATATATATAATATGTTTACCAAAAAAGTATAAGTTATTCTTTGAAGATTCAATCTTTGCAGAGAGATAGGAGCATTCGGGGAACCAATGAACTACACTTGCCTCTGGATAGATGTGTGCGTGGAACAGATCAAAAGGCAAACATTACAACTGTAGACAATATAAAACACCAACCACTTTCAGCAATTTCGAACGGGTACCATAAACCACTGAAAATGATCAATATTTTGGCAGATTAAATCAGCAGAATCCACAATAATGTGAGATAATATGAACTGTCCCCCGCAATAAACCAATGAACAAGAAACAACTGGCAGTAGGATACAAAAAACATAAAATATAAAAAAAAATAAAAACAAAAACACAACCTATTTCACATCAGCATTTAGAAGCCATATAGCACTGTACACAAATTACAGCATGGCAAGTGTCTCTTTTACCAACCTTTCCATTTTACTTGATGGTCAAATCATTTATGGACATAACATCATTCCTTCCAATGGTGTCCGCGTTATTCCAAAAGATTGTATTATTGGAAAAGGTCGGTACACTGTCAACAATGGCAGTTTCTCCATAAATATCATCACCACTCCATTAAGCTCGCCAAAACCAACCCATCCAACAATGTTGCAAAAGAATGCTTCAACAAAACCAAACCAACTAGTTATGCATGCAGACGATTGACATCAATTTGTGTCCCTTAAATCTATCTACTTTGGGAGGTTGAACAGCCTTTGATCTTTCTGCCGGAATCAACGAGCCACCTGCGGTGGGTAATTCCCAGACAGCAGCAATTCAAGTAGGTATAATCTTCTCCCTTATATTGTCAGGAAGTCTTATTCCTCTTTTCTTCAAGCACTGAACCCTCTTTGAGTGCAATTTGGGCCTCATTCTCTCTTCCCAAAGCAAAAAGAGCTGCAGCTTGTAAATAGGATGCAATATGCCAAACAGGGGATATAACTTGTGCCTGCACCGAGTCATTGAGGGCTTCCTGGGGCATATCATTCATGAGATATGACAGACTACGTCGAGCAAAAACTGTCGGGGATACCATTGTTCCAACATCAATGAACTGCAAACACCAATAAGAAGTTATCAACTAAAAACTCAAAATTCCTTTGCTATGGAAGAGCAGAAAAAGTATTAGATTGATCGTACACAAATTTCAAGTATACAGCTATCGCCCACAAAGACAGATTAGAAACGGTGCATCTAATGGGTTGATCCTCATGATACCCCAGCACATACTGCACAATGGAATGGTTTTCTTGATAAGAAACCAATTTTTCTCTATGCAGTGGTTCACAAAGCAAAGGTCCTCTATAGATTTTTCAGGACTGTATTCTTTCTAGCCCAACAGCATTCATCTTTTTCACTTTGAACAAACTATCACTACATAAGGTAGTAATCACCGGGATTCCAAACCTGCAAACCAACCCACACACCAGACCTCCCCGCACCCTTTTCAAAAACACATGAATTCTTCATATCAACTCTTTTTAAGCCCATGGCCTATTGTTGGAAAGCTCTAGAAGTCTACTTTTCAATGTAACTAGTAGCATCTCAAAACTCCAAGTTCTTTTGGGATAAAATTGACATACTTGGTGAGATCTACTAATGTCACCCCATAAGAAATACACGAAACACATTACAATTGAAAAAGAAAATCCATCCATTGCCATCAAAACAGTACAAACAGACTAGGCCACGGGCCTTCAATGATCAACTCAATGGAAAATAAGTCTTTTTCACCTTCTTTTATGCTTTTTTGGCCGCCTTCTCACACTTTTGCACAAAGATACAGTTGAATAGCGTGGTTTTATAAAGATATATTGTGATGAAGCAGAATTTGTCGCAAACTGTTGCATGCTTTATAACGCAACTCTCAATCCACTATGAATTCTGAGATGAAACTAATTGGAGATGAAAATTGACTTCTAAACTTTTCAATGATATGTTGTTCACCCAAGAAGGAGTTCAGACCGGCCAATCATTTTGTTGGAGCATCCAACCCAAAACCATTTGGCAATAAGTATAGAGGCCTCTTCAGCATATAAGCGAACCTTGAGTGGTCCTAACTATTTGATGTGTGATACAAGTTATCTTTACACATTTGATCATAGCTCTAAATCTACTTCAAATCTTGAGATGAAACTTGCTCCATTTGAAAGTATACTTCCAGAGTAGTCCAATGATAGGGCATGAACATAAAACAAATTTTGGATGAAGAAATTATGCAGGGTGGAAGTGTTTTCTTCACCCTATAACTACAGCTGTGACTCATCTATACGAAAGCTGAGAACAACTGATGAAAATGTAGCTCTTTGCGCTTTGTGCGCCATGGGTGCTAGCCTCAAACAATGTGAATCTGTTTCTACCTCCCTAACCTTGTGTCCTGCCGGGGGTGTCAATCGTTAAACTAGCTTTTCTAGGCACTAGCAACATGCTCATGCCTGTTCCAGAACATTGGGAATTTGGGATGGTTCGTACGCTGAAAGACCCTAATAAACAAATGGGATTGCTTCATCCTAAAAAGTACGGCTGTTGGGAAAAACCACCGTGATACTCCTATATCAAGGTACTGCACCTCCATTATGAAGATACTCCATGCTTGGTTACCAACAGTTCTCTACTTCCTTTGTTCTTTAAGCCCTTACATAATGTATATAGTGGGCATTACATTGTATAAGCAATAACAAAACATAATTCAATATCTGACTCTGTTCATAATATCAGTATGACCACTTATCTGATTATGCAGATTAACTGAAGGGAAGCAGAGAAACCACCCAATGGTTTACTGGACCTCAAATTAATGAAACTCGGATATTGGATGGATAACAATTTAACCTGTGTGTAGCATTCGATTGCAGCTCTAAAATCTTTATGGCGGAAGGCAGCGTCACCCTTCTTCTTAGAATTCAATGTTTCCTGCATCTGATTTGTCCACATCTGGAAGGAAAGCTGCAAGGAAGGAAAATAGTT